ACTCTTTTCATTCAATGTTTTCTTTTTGATGATTTTTTAAATTTTGGTTCTTTTAAATGAATGAATTAAAATTAAATAAAATGTTAAATGGCTTCAAACATCTGCTAAGTTCATGGCATAAACCAACAGACGTAATCCTGTTTTTAGTATTTTACATCACTTTATAATGTAGCTGCTTTTGTTTTTAATATATATAATTTTCAAATCATGTTTTTTTTTTATGATTGTCTACTGTTGTACTGATAAATATCTCCTGGAGGGTAAACTATATCTTGGCTGCAAGTATCAAGCTGAGAAATCCTTCGTTTTCTACAACTGATAGTGGTTGGTCATGAATTATAATGAAGTTTAGCAACTTCTCTGTAAACATTCGAGCTCCGGGGATTCAGCGATGTTTTCTTCTTGTTCAGTCCGAAGCAAACAGGCTGATTTTGGTCAGCCGCGCTCAGTCTGTCCCTCCTCAGAGACGGGCAGATTTAGCGGTGCAGATTGGACGCGGCTGGCCGGGGTCGAGTTGGCTGTTTCGGGTTGAGCAAAGAGCAGCGCCACGCTGAAGCCCCGGAGCTTGAATGTCCAACGTAAAACTAACTTTAACGCGGTTTAATGTGGCGCTATGGCTCTGCAGACATTGCACGATGCTGTCTTGTTTTGTGGTGTTTAGTGTAAAATATTTCCACACAGCGGACATGTTTAGATGAAAAGTTGGTTAGCTGTTAGCTACAGTGCTGCTGCACGTTGTAGCTGACTGGAAACTATGAACTGGATTTCCTGAATGTGAGGTGGGTCTTATTACTCTGAGTTCATGAGACACGCCTCCATTCAGGAAATCCTTTCCATGGTTTGAAGCCAACGTGCATCGTGGATTGGAAATATTGGCAGGTTGGATTGGAAAAATCTGATACGTAAATTATGCTGGTATCGGAGGCCGATACTGGATTGGATCGGCCCCATCTCTGGGTTTATACATGTAATATACATATTTATATTATTTATATTATGTATTGATTTATACATGTACACATGGGTTTATAAATGTCAACAGCTGATTTTGGTAATGATTTCTGTGCTGCTGCTTGAAGAGTCAGCAGAGTACCGTATTTTCCACACTATATGTCGCTCCAGAGTAAAGGTCGCATCAGTCAAAATATGCCTCATGAAGAAGACAAAAACATATACAAGTTGTTTTGGAGTAGAAGTCGCATTTATTATATGCCACCGCTGACCCCCAGGAAACGCGGGCCACTGTTGTGCCAAAAATCGATTTGCTGTAAAAAAAATAGAATGGCGACTGCGGGAGCGCGCAGGGGAGGACTCTCTGTTGCAGTTCTTCAAAATTTAACAAGATTAACACCTAAAAACAATTGTTTGTTTGCTTGACATTATAGCAAAGGTGTGTCTCAGTTTAACTTTTCCTTAATAAATGCACTTTAATGGTCATAACAGCTTCATTTCGGCTGGGCGGCGTAGTTGCGGCACACTGAGAACAGTCCGTCCTGGTTGGCAGCCGTGCCCCGTCCCTCCACTGCTGGAGCGGGGAGGAAGGGTGCAGTGAGGTGCATGGTCCGCGGCCCCGGGAGGTGGCAAGGTGCAGGCGGAGGAGCGCTGTGGAGCTCGCGTCAGGAGTCGCGGGCTCTGCAGCGTTCCTCCGCCGCCGGAGCGGTTCATGTTCGGTTTGGTTCATGTCTGTGTGAATGAACATTTAACGCGTCAGTCAAAAACGGTGTCATGAATAAGGGGAAAAAAACAGATATAAGTTGCTTCGGACTATACGTCGCAGGACTGGCCAAACTATGAAAAAAACAGCAACTTATAGTCCGGAAAATACGGTAGTTGCTGTGAGGTGATGTTTGTCCTAGTAGAGTTGCCGTAGCTTCCTTTAAGAGAAAATATTTTAGTAAAATTGTGTTTTTACACCTTTTTTGTTGTTTCTTCACTAAACTATAAAGTATATATAAAAATGTTGAAGTCATCATAAAATGACTGTCTTTAGTAGAATGCTAATCAGGTAAGCTGTTCTATAGTGTTTTTAATGTTAAGTTAAGGATCTATGCCAGTGCAATCCAACTAAACTGCTCAGAGGGCCACATTTTCTGAAAGCCAGCAGCTCAGGGAGCCGGACATCCAAAAATTAAAGTCATTATGTAAATAAACCAAGTATTACCATGGCCTATTACCTTTGAAATGTGTTTATTTTGCTGCATTGAATCATAAATGCAATAAGCAGAACCCAAAAGTGTAGTTCAAATAAATTACATTTCAAGATTGCATTAAAAGTAGTGATATTCTGTGAAACAATATTAAAAACAAAAACTGACACACTATGCCTCATAATTAACACAAATATTATTCTGCCATCTCTGACTTGTCAAATCTTTACGGTTTTCAAAATAAATAACAAAACGTTGACCGGTTTTGATGACCCCTGAATAACCAACATGTTGCTGTACTAAGTGGGTCCATTAAGAACCAGTTGTCATTTACAGTGAAATGGCTACAGACCAGTTCTTCCTCCAACGGTTCATGAATCACAGGTGAAGCGTCCACGTTAGCTTCGAGCAGAACCAGAAAAGGCGGTGCAGAACTCAGCTGAGCAGAAATCGAGCGCTATGCGAGTTGAACGTCTCCCTCGTGTCATTTACTAAAGTAAATTAACTCAATTAATCAATCGTATTTTTGGTTAACTATTTTTTTAAACCCAACTACAAAACGACTGTATGTCATCAGCAGCATTCCCGCAGTAACAAATCTGTTTGTTGTTGTTTAAATCAGCTCGCAGATGATCACACAGTGATATCAGTTTAATAGAACTCCCCGCACAGCAGGAAAAAAGAGCCCCCGCGAGAGCGCACAGTCTTTCACTCGTGTTCCTGCTAATTTAATTCTTATAATTAAACATTATTCACGTGAAAAACACAGACATTTGTAGGCCCAGATTAAAGCAAAGATGTGTGTCTCTGTTTAACTTTATTTTACTTTTCCCAAAACTCACAAAGTTCTCTGAAAGAGAGTCCAGTCCAAGAGACACTGTGAGCTGCAAAGCATGCTGGGTAGCCATGTGGAAATTATATGTGCAATGCATCAAGGTGCAATATGCAACATGTTTGTGTGCGCAATATATGTGCAATGTTTCTGACTTTACAATGTGTGAGTGTGGAAATGGGTTGTTCTTGTTAACGTCCTGTTCAGGTTTGCTTTGGCATTTATTGATTTATTGGCTGTAAACTAACAGCACGAGTCAGACGTTGTTCCTGGTACGTATAAAGGGGAGTATCCTCGCCAGTGTTTCCCCTACCGTTATCCAAGGAGGGCACCCCGCCCTGTCAACAAAACCGAGCGTGCCCTGCCTATCAAACTGACCCCCCCATCGACAACTGCCAGCAGTGATGTAGCGCTAAGCTAGCAGCATGCAATACAGACGCGCTGGCAAAAAAGCTAGCTATAATGCTCCACTTCCCACACGCACCCCACCCCTTTCCGCTGACAACTGCTGGCAGTAACGCTAAGCAAATGGCACAAAATACAAATGCGGATGCAATGTTCTGCTTCCCTCACACCCCCCCCCACCCAGGTCAAAAACTACCAGCACTGACGTAACGCTAAGCTAGCGGTGCGAAATACAGATGCCCTAGCTAAAAAGCTACAGATGTAATAACAAAGTCCATGCTCAATAATCCATGAATACAATCCAACATTTTTCAGTCAGGTCATCTGGACAGTTTCTTTTTTTGTGCTTAAACGTTTTGCCTTCGATCCGGAAGGCTTCATCAGTCAAGGAAACACACAGCAAAACTGATTCTTCCCCCAACAGCTTACTCCAAAGTGGAACAAACCAGTTATGGTGGTGCTAAGATGGTCTCTTTGTCACGCCCCCTCCTCCATTGCCAGCCCACTTCCTTGCTGACAGTCGTGTCAAACTGGTTGAAAACAACGACGTCTTGAGCATGGACTTTGTTGTTTTCAACCAGTTTGACACGACTGTCAGCAAGGAAGAGGGCCGGCAATGGAGGAGGGGGCGTGACAAAGAGACCATCTTAGCACCAACATAACTGGTTTGTTCCACTTTGGAGTAAGCTGTTGGGGGAAGAATCACTATTGTTATGTGTTTCCTTGACTGATGAAGCCTTCCGGAGCCAAGGCGAAACGTTTCAGCACAAAAAAAAGAAACTGTCCAGATGATCTGACTGAAAAATGTTCTACAGATGTAATGCTAGTGCTTCCCTCACACACCCCCACCCCGTTTACAACTGCTGGCACTAACATAGCATGCAACACAGACGTGTCTCCGTCTCCTCACCCCCACAGACAAAAATCCCTGAAGAGACAAGTGTCCTGCCAAAGCAAGTGACTTAGGGGAAACACTGCTCGCTGAAGAATGATGTCTCACGATGAGACGTCAGGCTGCCTGGGAACAATAAATCAGTGCTTAAAGTATCAAAGTTCATGCTCAATCATCCAGGTAGAAAATCCAACAAAGTTCAGTCAGGTCATCTGCACGGTTTATTTTTACTTTTTCAGTGCTTAAAGTGTTCTTCAGTAAGCTCGTGAAAATATTGAAAATTAAGATGGGCACATTACAGAATTACCTCTCTGACTGAAATATTTGTCATTTCAAGTCTCTCTCATGGATGTTTTCTAATTTATTTATTTTTTCTTCCTTCATTTTATTAATTAACATCGGTGGGCCGGACTTTAAACATCTGCAGGCTGGAAGTGGCCCACGGGCCGCCAGATGAACAGCCCTGACCTATGCTGTGTTGATCAGTAACATGTGATAAATTGGGTTTTATTTGTGTTACTGTGAACTCTTTATTTGGTATATAAACATTAAAAGTGTTTATTTATATAAAATAAGGCATGGTCAATAAAGATAATCCAAATACATCAACAACCATTTTATAATCGCACCACAGAGCTCCGAGTCATCATCAGATCGTAAGGTGCACAAGGAGTCCCACTTCACACACACACACACACAGATATGTGCAAAACTGCAGCCTTACCGTGAAGATGCGTCGCCCTGTCCGGTCAAAGGTTACGCAGTACACAGACGACAGATGTCCCAGAATCCTCTTGTGCATTTTCATGTGCTGGTACACGGCTGTGGGCACCAGCTGCCGGAGCCGGTAGGAGCCGTTCAGTCGACGGCTGTAATACGTCTCCACTGAACGTGTCGATTAAAAAAATAAAATCAAAAGGACATTATCAAACAGCACAAAATGCAAACAACTCTGATGTACTTAAGAGGCACAGCCTTTCTTGTAAGAAATAAATGTGTGTTGTTTTTTTTTTTTACCAATATTAGGTGGGCTCCCGTAAATAATAGGTGGCTCTGGGGGTCGTCCGCAGTGCAGCGCAGCTAGCGCTGAACCCTTCCACACGACGTGTTTGCAACCTGGAAGAAGCAGAAATACTCGGGTTAAACTGTCGCGCTTGTTCTGCTTGATCTTCAAATCTATCTGCGTTTGTTCCTTTGTTCACTCACTCTTGCTGGTGCGGAGGAGATTCTGCCTGCCGGCCCCCAGAAGGCTGGTAAGTCCAGGCATGCTGGCGGGAACCTCCCTCTCCAGCAGCGGACAAACTCGGGAGCATACCTGCAGCAGGTGGCCGGGAGCGATGTGCCTGTAGAGCTTCACCTGAACACAAACACAACACCATCAACACAGTTAACTTTAGTTCGTTATCTACATTATTCACGTCTAAACCTTATTTAAATGTTTGTATTACTGGTTTCTCTTCTTTCTTAGACCCCCGTCAAACAAACAGCTGAATTATAGCTTACAGGCTGTTCATCATCTTGGCTCAAGCTGAACTAAACAAAGCTTGGCAGCAAAGCAGCACATTGTGTATAAAATATGGCCATTATAATAGTTTAACTAGAGAAAAAACAGAAATGCCTTGAATAAACTGCAAGAGTGAAGGATTTATTTTCTTTTTGCAGCTGGACAGGAAATTATACTGTGGATCTAAAAACCCAACATTTGTAAAGAATACAGAAGAAAAAAAAACTAAGAGAAGTGTAGTTTAATGTTACACAGCTGGTTGCAAAGTGTATCTGGTTTTCTTCAGCGGTTGCAAAGGAAAGATTAAATCTCATATGAGCCAGAAGACGCTGCATTCACAGAAAAGCTTCTATAAATCCAGCCAAAAAGCGATATTACAGATATTTTGATCTGGCATTTAGATTTCACTTCACATTCACCATGCTGAGCTCTGTGGAGCTAATTTCAATCAGAAATCTTCTTCATTTGCTAATGTGGCTCTGAAGTCCATCTGCAGTGGGCCCTTAACTTTGACCAAAGTCTTGGGACTTTTTAGATTTATATTGACATTAGGAAGGAAATAGTTTTAGCGGTTTTTCTTCTACTAATATTTGAAAAAAGTATATATTTTTGCAGCAGAATGACACTAAATATAAGTAGGTCAGCTGGCCTATGTGAACTGATCTTTTACAGACATTAATGACATGTTCATAAAGATTAATTAACTGTGCACACTTTATCTTAATGTCAGCACCAGAATTATCTGAAAGTGGATCAAGTTTTCACTAGAACATGCTCAAAGTGTGGTGATCCATTTCACTGTAGTTTGTCTTTACTTTGTTTGCAGTTTTCTGACTACTGTAACAAAGCGCACTTAAAATCATATCGTTTTCTCAAAAGTCGACAGTGAGCCTTATAACGAGGTGTATGAACTCTGGTTGTGCTTACTGACCTCGAACCGATTTTATGTGGTTATTGTGAATAAGTCGAACAAAGTTTGACTTATCTGGCTGTTTTGTTTCACTTAATGTATAGTCCAAAAAATGCAGTGCTGTAAGTGCAGCGACTCTCCTAAATCACCAGAAAAACAACAATTTACAACATGTCTAGTTGCTTTAAATGCAGAAATTGGAGCTTTGTACATCAGACTTGTTCTGTCTTTTTTGTCATTTTGTGTTGCAGCTTGTTTAATCTCTAAGTATGCAACTTATTTCACTATACTTTGCTTGTTTAATCTCTAAGTATGCAACTTATTTCACTATACTTTGCTTGTTTAATCTCTAAGTATGCAACTTATTTCACTATACTTTTTACAAATATGGGAAAACTTTGCTTGATTCTAAACAAGACGCTTGTTTTCGTCTATAGAACTGTAGTTTTTTTTTATCCTTTCCCATCCTAAAAACCGAAATAAAGAGTAGACTTTCACAATGCAACAACAAATAAAGTTGTATATGTAAAATATGTGTGAATACTTTTTGTGGTATATTTATTTTAATGGTTTAAAGAGCAAAATGTCTCTTTTAAACATAACAGTCCCTTTACTTGTTAGCATGTTTTCACATTTTTTCCTCTGACATTAAATTTCTGTCCTACAACGCACTGCATTTATTTATAATCAGCCCTTTGTTTTGTCTTTTTGTATTTTCTGCTCTTTGTTAAGTCTTTAACATGTGACTGCAACTTACATGAAACTGACATGAACTTCTTTAAACATCAGTTTGACGCAAGACTCATACGTCAAACACGTCAGTGCAACTCTGCTTTACTTTAGTATTGTGTATCAATATAGATGTTAATTTAATGCAACCATTGTCACTAATATATTTGTGTATTTCTTTATGCAGAAAGAACTTATTGTGCAGTGCATCATAAAAAAAAAGTTACTCAAGAAATAATGCAACAATGTGAAACAGCTGAGTACATTTACATTTTCTATGCTTCGATTAAAACACCTGAAATACTTGATTAAATTTAAAAATAGATGTGAATAAAGACAGCAGCTAATATGAGTAAGAACGTATTGAATAATGTGTGAACGTAGCCAGCTTTAAAAAGAAATATTTAACAAAACTAAGTATTAAGCATCTCTGTTCATTTGTTTTGTGAACTCGACAAAATCTGAACGCAATTGTTAAAAAAAACCTCAATATCTGAAGAAAATGACGTCAAATTTACAAATTCTCGGGGTTATAAAGCCTACTGATAATCTGGGTAAGAATGCCTGATAATTTATAACTATTAAAGTTTATATCAGCATCTGTTTCTAGTTTATTTAACTCATTTAATTTACAGCTCCTCCTACGTACAATCAAATCTTACAGGATTTAATTATTATTACCTAATTATGGTCTACTTATAAACCTACAAGTTTCGTATTACTGCTGAAGGTGTTCAACAAATTATAAAAAAAGGACAACAAGCTAAACATTTATTCAGCCTAAACATCTCAAACATTGTTTGCTGAACACTTTTCAAAAGAAAAGTGGCAAAATTTGACTAAATGAGGAAAATAAAAGCAACAAGAAACGAGCTCAGACCTGGGCATTATATGGGACAAAGCACTATGTGGCTTTAAATCACAACACCAAACACTAATGTCCAATAATTATTTAAAATTAGATTCTGAATTATTTGGGTGTAAACTCTTGCGCAGAATGAAGGAATATTCTCAGCACATTAATTATTTTAAAAAAAACAAGGTCAATCTGTTGGTTAACCGAGTTTCCAAAGGAAAGTTGTCATTTTCCAAAACAAATCAACGTCTTTAGTTTCCAAGTTTCCCCAGAAATATAACAAAAATATTCAATTTCTCAGTGATGAAAAAACAACAATAATAAAAAAAATAAACAAAGCCCATAACGAGGACACTCAGTCAATCAGGGGCCTTTCAGGCCAGAGTTTTAAACCGAGGTCATCTCATAAAGCTTGGAGACAAAGTTACACCAGTTTAGGTCAAACCCTGTAAAATTCACCAACTCGTGCATCATTTAAAGATGCTGCACCTGCATGTTGGGGATGACTCTCAGCTACTACCACATCAAACTCTAGCTCAATATCTGGAAGTTATATCCATTTTTTTGTGTTAGCGAAAGCTGACAGGCTGTGGTGGTCCATCATTTTGTACTGGATGGGCTCTAAATGTGGATCAGTCGTAGATGTGCGTTAAATAATTCACTTCTACCAGTTTCAGTAGATATTTTACTAACAGACGGACATGGTTCACTTGAAGTTATTGGTAAAATTTTAAAAGATCTTGCCAAATCTGTTAGCGCTCAGAGGAGGCGTGGGAGTCAAGACTTAGCTGCTACACCAAACTTTAGAGCTGTAAAACTGACAAGAGTTATAACCTTTTTTTAACTTCAATTAGCTGTTAGCATGTTGAATATTGTAATAATTACTTTCTGTGCGTTTCCCTGAGCCCCTCAGTTCACAAGATGTTTTGTTAACAAACGCTCGAACGTGAGCAGAGGCGTTCTTGTTCGTGTTTGCCTTTCGGGCGACAGCACAACATGCACCAAACTACAGCTCAGATCACCTTCACAGCAGAGGGGGGGGGTGCAACATAAGCATGGGGCAGAGAAAGAAAAGGCACGCACACGCTGATATAAACAGTGTGTCACCGATTCCACTGACACGTATGAGGAGAGGTGGGGGTGTAGTCCTGCACGGCCCACTTCAGAAAACACACGCATAAATACACGCCTGAATGGCTGGAAAAGCATTCAGTCCAAAACAAGAGATCAGGAGGAAAACAGCTTTACCCAATAAATACTGATCCGAATGTCTGAAGCGGTTAAATAAACCTGAAGTCACACATGAATTCAGCACACACTCGTGCAGTCATCGTCTCCATTTCTGAATCCAAGCAGCAATAATAAGACTTTATCGTCTCCTTGTGAGGCACATAATTAGTGGCCCTTTAATTGCTTTCAGCATCCTTGCAGGCTCGGAGACGTGATCAGTGTTTCCAAGCACACATCAGAGCACGAGCCTCTCAGGTACACACACACACACACACACACACACACACACACACACACACACACA